ACGGACGAAGTCGCGGGCAAAAGCTATTTGTAAAATCATCATCATCATCATCATCATCATCATTTCAGCCATAGGACGTCCACTGCTGAACATAGGCCTTTGTAAAATAATTAGACTAAATTATTAAAAGTGCCTACCCAAAGTCATTAGTCCACGCGGACGAAGTCGCGGGCACAGCTAGTATATCATATTAGTAATCGTATTAAACTACGTTAAAAGGTATTTGTCTTTAACCTTTGTCTCTAATACTTATGATGATTCCCTATTTTCTTGTAAAAATTTTTTTTGAAATATTTACACACCCAAGCAATCAGATAGGCAGCGTTTTATGGCTTAAATGCTGTATTGACTATACAGGGTGGAATTTTCTAATGCCATCTGGAGGGAAAGTACTCTTAATACTGTAGATAGAAAATACTGAAGAAAACATTCCTTTATTTTTGAAAAGAAAGAGAACTGTACCTCTAGTACGAAAAACTTTCGAGTTCGTTTCGTTGCGTATTCAAAGTGTCATCGAAAAATTTTGTATGAAAAATTAAACAGCGCCCCCTATATTATAGCCGCCCTAGGGGGCGCTGTTTAATTTTTCATACAAAATTTTTCGATGACACTTTGAATACGCAACGAAACGAACTCGAAAGTTTTTCCTACTAGAGGTACTGCATTCTTAGATTTTCGAAAATTTTTCGAAAATTCTCTACAATACCATACAATTTTCTGTAAATAATGAAGATAATTTAAGATTTCATGGTTTTCCTTTCATTTGATTTCTCAAGTTTGTTGGAGAGATTTAATCCTTATACTTAACCCTAAATGGATACAATAAAAATACAGGGTGTAATTTTTTACAGATTTTAGTTGGTTCGATTCCCGGGTATAGCAAGCAAATTTTTGGAAATCTTTGAATGCAGTTCTATTTCTTTTGAAAAATAAATCAATGTTTTTTTTGAGATTTTTTTTCTATCTACAATATTAAGAGTACTTTCCCTCTAGTTGGCATTACAAAATTCCACCCTGTATAACCTAATTAATTAATTATGTACTAACGAACAGTTGCTTGGGTCATTCTGAGAAACATTTGTTACTTATGACACAAGCTGTTCTACGTTAACTACTAATTTTTAATCATGAAACGGATGTTGAACGCAGTTAGCACTAACTAAACAGTTCTTCTATTTTATAATTTGAGTAGGGCCTTATTTTAGGTTCAAGAGTTTTGATACACATTTCACTATTGCTATGTGCATGTACCTATACGCACACACACACAAGTAAAGCTCACTCGCCTTCGTGATTTGCAAGAACTAAATACACTCAACATCAAATAAACCGCACCTTCCCCGACGCGAACTTTATAGATTTTCTTCTGACACAATCATGGTACCCCAACAATATTGGTGTTAAATTTTTAGCGTTTGGAGTCGCATCTCAAACTAATTTGAAAATTATAAATAACTTGAAAAAATCGAACTGCCTAAGGCGGGAATTGAACCCACGACCTTCCGCTTGCCGGGCGACTGCTCTTCCAACTGAGCTACTTAGACACTGGATGAACCCGTCGAAATTTTCAAGTTTAATACGCTGTTACAGCCAGCGTTTGTTTCATCAATGTTAAGTATACCTACCCTACATCTAACAGAAATATTGTTGCAAATATTTAACTGTCAGTTAAGATGAAACAGCTNGGAAGGTCGTGGGTTCAATTCCCGCCTTAGGCAGTTCGATTTTTTCAAGTTATTTATAATTTTCAAATATTGGTGTTATTTGAAAGCCCAATAAATATCCTTAAAGAAAAATACATTTCATTTCTAAATAAATGATTAACATATACCATAAATGTGACTTGAAAATAGACCTCACTTTGGGCTCACCTCTGGGATCAATTAGACCAATTTTTATGGTTATAAAACCAAATAAAGATCTCACGTGTCCTCTTTAACAGATGGATAGCGATTAATCCCAACTTAACAGTTTTATAGTCATAAAAAATGGCTATAGCGTAACTACCTATTTTTTGAAGAAGTGACTCTGGATCCTTGTAAAGACACATTTTTGGGGTAAAAACCTTCCTTTAATGAAATGAAGTTTAGAACTAGGCTTTCAAATGGTACCAATGTTGGTGGAAAGAGGGGATGCATACGTTTGATAAGTGCTTGTCGCGGGAGGTGCGATTTATTTGATGCCGAGTGTAGTTTATTGTACAGCTGAAATACATATTATATCTGAAATATGACATCCTGGGCAATAAACTATCTTTCTTTTAATATATCTGCCTTTGTGACGATATTAACTGTGTGGATCATTATTAACATTATCATCTCAACAAGTCACAAATAATCAAGATTAATCTAAAAATATTGTATCATTTCCTTGAGAATTTGGCCCAATTACGGGACTCTTATTCCCTTTTGTAAAACAAATGATTAGGCCATTATTTCCATGAAACCGGCCAATCAGTGATTGTATCGGAAATAAGGATGGAGGAAATGAACTGTTGGATTGTATAGCGAAGGTAGAATTGAAGGTATACTTTAGTAGCTGACATACAATCAGGTTTTATTGAATCGGCTTCATTTATCTTTGCAGTATTTTTTTTCTATTAAAACATCCGGGCATCGAACCCAGGAGTAAAGTATGGTATTGAGTAGGTAGGTACTGGCTCAATATAGATTATAGCCACGATAGCCGAACGGTGAAGGGGTCGGAGAGGCCGATCCGAGATCCGAGGAAAGTGAAGTACCGCCAAACAAATTTCTTTTCTGCTCAACCCAAAGGTAAACTGGTCGAGAATGCTTTAGTGCATTAAGTTCGCCTTATGTACAAATTTATTTTGGCATAAAAGTTTAAATAAATAAATAAATAAACGCGGGTTCGAATCCCACCGCCGCTCGACTATTGTGTTGAGCCCACTCATAACACAAGTTTATTTAGCTTAACAGGAGGGGCTAATGGGACTATTAGTAATTTGCGCAAATTAAATTGCTAACAATCTTTTAAAAAAATAGAGGTAAATAAAACAAAAAGTACCCGTCATAAAAACCATCGATATATTTACACTTCTCGATATTTACATATTTACATAAACGACTGTTAAGTTTACAATGGATTTATCCTATTTACATCACCGCTGAATCGACACAAGAACAATGTTTCAGTGAAATCAAATTACACTTATGCCTTGATCACACGTACCGAGCAAACGGGCGAGACAGTGCTCTCGGCCGAGTACTCGTTGTGTATGAACATTACGCCGAGCGCTCGAGTATGTGACTCGCTCACCCAACTGTCTCGACCGATTAAACATTTTACTGTCTCGCCCGTTTACTCGGTACGTGTGATCAAGCCTTTAGATATGTCAAATTTAAATACTATTAAACACTTTAAATGACAACATTATATAGAATAAAAATAATAGAACAAGCGAAAAGATTGGGTCCCATATATTTATTTATGATCAATAGTACAGTGATTAAAATGCTGAATTAATCTAGTAGCAACAAGGTTTTGGTGTCCTTTACGAACCTATTTTATTAGCAAAGGACATTTTTTTTCTATCATGGGCATTTGATTAGTACAGTGCAATGTATGTATTATGAAATACAATGTAACATTTATTCAGTATTCACATTATTGTGAAATGTAAAACTTCTGCAGTATCAGATTCTAAATTCTAATTATGTTCATCCAAAAAGAAACAGAAAAGCAACTGCAGCAGAATGGCTTTGATATAAAAGTACACAAGTTACATTACAACTTTCGTTACATTACAACTTGCTGTATAAGTCTAACTAAATGTTACATTACATTGCATGTAACGTTACATCCGTTTATTACGGATTTAGAGGTTTATTCTAGGTCTCTTCGTCTTAAAACTAAGTTATGTAACTGTAAACACTATAATCTGAGCGATTTAAATAAATATGCCACAGAAAGCTCTCAACATAGATTCAGTCTCACTGAATGAATACGTGGGTAATATTTTAATTTTTCAATAATTTCGAGTTCTGAAATAAAAATATTACCGGTTTAAAGTTGATGATCGTATTGGAAAATATAAAATGTATAATTCTTTCATTAATGGACCTGATAATAAGTATTAAATGAATTATCTGAACATAATAAAATTGCATACAATATTAATATTAAAATAATACTGATTGGCATATTTAAATATGGTAAAATATCGTTGATTTCTGAACATAAATAAATACAATACTTGCTCAAACAGACATACGTTCATTAATAAACATTTCTCATTAAACTTTAATAATTTCTTACTAAATGAGATTTCGTTTTAACTTAATTAAACGACCATTATTGCGAAGTTGAATGTAAACGTGCGGCTTTTTAACACTTTCTTGTGAAAATCCTGTCATGTCAATGACAAAAATCATATTTGTCACAAGTGCCACTTGTGGTCTAAACTGAATAAATATTTTTCATTTTGATTAATATTTCCAGTGACGCGTTTAATACATTTTTAACGATAAACTTTTTCATTAAAATAAAATTAGGTTTAGAATTTTATGATTTTTATTATAATTTATGTTACAAATTGACATTCTGTATCAATGCTTGCATCATATAATTTTTAAGATACAATATTAGAATTGAAATTATTATAATTCATAAAATCAAAATTAAATTTTTAGCACTTTTTAATGTGTTACACGTTTGAAAATACAGTAAAATGATTTTTTCTCTTCTTTTCGCATTAATTCAATAATAACACCTAAGCTTTTTCTTTTTCTATCTTAAACATAATAATAAGGTAGATTGCTTTGAGTATTTCATTAAAATAATAACATTAATATTATACAAACCAGGCTTTATTCCTAGCAATAATTGCGATACAGTATTTTATTAACTTCACAAACTCGTTTCAGCAGTAAAACAACTGTAAAATTCAACGGGTATACCAAATATATTACGCATAAATTGTATACTGAAACGTCTACATATCAGTCTGCAGTGTAAATTTTACTCTACTTACATTGACATTAGGTTCAAATTGCTATGTTGGTTCTTCGAGTTCACACAAAGTCTGTAATGGGTCGTTGACCTCACTAGTTTTGAGTGTAGTCGTTGATGTTGACAGAGCGACCAGGTCTTCGTCAACTGTCGTCAGCTGGGAGTATTCTGTCTTCGGGAACATAGTCCGATGTTTGCGTTTTCTGGTTGTTATCTGAGGATAAAAATATGTTAAGGAATAGGCTAGATGACAAAATTTCAATTTTTGTCCATCAGACAGATAATTAGAAAACATTAGGCTCGTATTTTTTATTTTCTTTCATAATTAAATAATAACAGTGCTACATCGAGTTGAAATGGTGCGTTGCGTCAGGTTAGATTTTTTCCTCAAAAGTGACGTCACGCGACATTTATTATTTCTCAATTATTATTAAATAATACTGTAATTATTAAATTATGAAAAAAAAACAGAAAATACGTGTCCAATATTTGTTAATTATCTGTCTGACGGACTAAATAGAATTTCGATTTCATTACCCAGTCATCATTCCACGTGACTCTAAAACATGATAATTTTAATAATGTCAAGGCCACCTCAATTCAACTAATAAGTTACTATTATTGAGCTTTGAGCCAATCATGTTGGCTACAATCCCATTCCTTGAATGCACATTCAAACTTGAGTGACGTTCCATACTACAGGCCTACGGCAACATCGTAGTAATGCTACGGCCTTACTACGCGGCTACGCGCTACGATATGTTCCGTAGCGTACTACGGTAGTATTTGTAACTAGCTGACCCGGCGAACTTCGTACCGCCTTAGCGTAGAGATTTTCTTAATATTTTTTTCCGTAAGAACCATCCTTGGACTTCCACAAACATTTAAAAAAAAGAATTATCGAAATCGGTTCAGCCGTTCACACGTGATGCCGTGACAACGCGAAACGGGTTTCATTTTTATATATATAGATTTGTAATACAAAAGCTTTTGTGGCTCATTCAGCTAAAATAGTTTTTCTTAGTTTCTCTATATGGAAGTTATCGTCTGAGTGTACTTATAACATAACTTGTAGTTTTATTTAGCAATATTATGCAAGTTCAGTCTTTTATTATGATGGAAAGAGCAAAAATAGTTAATGTTACAAAATAATTGCAATAACAAGCACTCGTTGCACTGTGTTTTTCGTACGTCAGTAACAAAGAGGTACAATTAGTACCTTTATTGATTCACTCTCAACAGGAGATTAATAGGCCCGTAAAACAAAACGACTATCAAAACTCGATTCAAAGTCAAGCATAGATTCAAATCAGTGATTTGATAAAGTTAAGTAAATAAATCACAGATTTTAATCTTTTGAGTGTAGATTAAAATTTGTACTTACCTATTCATTCATAATATTAGGTCATTCTTAAGGTCTAAGAGCCTTATTAAACTAATGTATGGATTGGGCTATAGTTATGTAAACTTTGCATGCATTGTCATTTCCTAATCACACTTTAGTGTTTGTTTTCCAATGTGACGTAGGGACTATTCGTCGGAATAAGTAAAGGTTCGACCAAACCAACGCGATCACGATCAGCCGGCGTGCAGCGATGGCGATCAGACTTAAATGCATTGATCGCCATCACTGCACGCTGGCTAATCGAGTGTGATTGCGTTGGTTTGGCTGAACCTTAAGAGAAAACATTCAAAAAAAGAATACCAGTAAAAAATAATTAAAACAAACAAAACACTACCTTCACAATAACGATAAGCGTGATGACCCCGAACGCGGTCGCCGCTACGCTCCACGCCAGCAAAGTACGGTCGGAGCTCGCCGCGCCCGCCGCGTCGTCAACGAATAAAGACGCGGTTACGTGCGAGCGAATGTTCTCCGCGATTCGCCGCTTCCCAGCTGACGAGCCGTTCAGACAGCCCCCTGGAAACGACACTTTTGTTTACGAAAGAAACGGAAACACTATTATGTGGTGGAATTCTTAAAAGGAGCAAAGCTTTGCTTTTTAAAACACCGCTTTGGAATTAGACGCGGAAAAAATGTTTTGAAAGTAAAAAGGGTTATCTGGATACCTTCCGTGATGAAAACGTTTTAATGATCTTTTGAATAATGTAATGAAGTGATAGCGCTTTAAAAAGCCTATTCGCAGAAAATACATGACTTTTGTGATGAACAATTAATCTCTCATTTTAAATTTATAGCATATAGCTATCATTAGTTTAAAAGTAAGACACAACACAAAAAATAAAATATTCTTACCAATGTCTTTGTCGCAATGACAACAGTCTGTAGTCTGATTCGTACTCAAATAAAATGAGAGCATACTTTCTGTACAACACGGCAAACATTTGTGGTTTACCCTGAAAATTGAAAGCTCAGTTATGTACACACAAACTATTGTACTCCTAATGGCATCTCTCATTCTTTGTGTCATTTTAATAATTGATCGCTCTATCAACATCAAACGGAATTTGAAATTGAGATGCTGTTATGGAACTCGTATGTTTTCTTACCTATCTAAACGAAGAGGATGGGCACAAGTGACGCAGCTGGTCGGTCCAGGCCCCGAGCAAGATCTGCACGAATCATGACACGGCTCACAGGTTCTCGACCTGGGCTCGTAGTATTGAGAACTAAGGCACTCCACGCATAGGCCACCTTCCAAGGAAAAGTGAGGCGGGCATGACGTACAACGCTGCGGCCCAGCACCACGGCAGTCTTGGCAGTAGTGGTGGCATCTTCTACAACTCTCCTGCCATGGAAAGAAGTTCTGAGGACACTCTGGCCTGCACTCCCCAGCTGCGAGTCTCCAATCAGGAGGACAGGACGCGCACTGATCTCTTCTCGGACCTGTACAAGTCTCACATGATAGGTAACACTTTGAACACGTCCCTTCATCAGGGTAGTAACCAGGAGCACACGTCACTCGGCACGTCCCAGATTGCAACCTTAAGGCACCAGCACAAGACGTGCAATTCAACCTCGAAACGCACGCCGCACATGTATGTGGACAGCGCGTACAACGCCCTGCCGTTTGGTAAAACCCCTGACCGCATTCTGCGACACACCTAGAAACAAACATCCTATGTATATTTTCTCTCGCATAAGGAAAGGTCCGGCTTAATAAAGTGCCATTACCTCGATCCCTGTAATAACAACGGGCTCGAACAAGACAAACAGTCCCACTCATTTGGTCCGCTACATTTGTCGCAAGTGGAATGGCAATTTTTACAGCGCCCTCCCTCATAATACTCGTCGTCTGTGAAAAAAATACGGATTACAATTTCAATGGAGCGATTGAGAACGGATCTTTGTTTATTGAACATTACTCACTGGTGTCGCATTTGTCATTGCCATCCGGGAAACAATTTCCGCCTTTGGTAAGAATCCATTTCTCTTTGCAAACGGAGCAGACGGCATACGTGCAAATCGTGCATCCTATTGGACACCTAAGACAACAGAAAATTGTTTCCTGTTTTATAAGGGTAATTTGAAGGAAACGATTTAGGTCAGAATATTCATTTATACTTACGAGAGACATTCCCTCCTTTGTGCGTCGGCGTAATAGCCTAAAGGACATTTTGGGACGCAGCGGTTTTTTAATGCATAATCGCCGAGACGACAGGAAACACACTCCGTCTCGCTCGGCCCGGAACACGATTCGCACGACTCGTGGCAAGGCGTGCAACTAAAATCATCTTTTTGATATGTACCGGGCGGGCAAGCTGCTAAGCAAGAGCCGTTATACAGAAAGTAATTATGTGCACAAGATGAGCACATGTCGGCCTTTTCGGAGCAGGTGTAACAGTGTTCGGCGCACGGAAAGCAAGCACTCGCGTCGGGGTCTTCATAATAGCCATCTGGGCATTGTTGTAGGCAAACTGCTAAATCAATAACTAACAGGTGTGCGGGTGCACAAGTTAGGCAAGAGTCTTGGCCGGCCCCGGCACAAGTTTCACACGACTCGTGACACGGCCAACACACGCCTCCTTGATTCACGAAGCTTCTCGGCGGGCACCTCGAGACGCAAGAATTATCCAAACGATAATGTTTGCACGCGACGCACTGAGTCGGACCCTTGCCATAGCAGCCCTGCGAATCACATTCCGGGTCGCATAATCTTTGTACCTGTTTATCATTGGCATCTGCCAATACATTTTTTCGCTGAGCCGACGGAATGTTCTTGGGATAACTATGCCTATCAGAAATACCAAGCTCGATCTCGTTGAGAAATTGAGAATATTCAGATGCGTCATAAACATCGTTTATGTGATAGGTTTTTTCCTCCTGGTACACATTATTTGAATTATAGTAACCCTTATTTCGCAGCCGGATAGGATTAGTGGCGGTCCCGTAAAAAATCAACTGCCACTTTTTCAGTACTCCAGGTTGAGTTACGTGATTATTCCCGGCATTTATTATTTGGAGAGTCCACCGGCCCTCTGCGTTCTCGCCCCAGAAGTGTACGCTTAAAAAAGGCCAGTCATCGAAGTTGGAACTAGTTGCGTCATGTGTTCTTTCGAATAAAAGGGTGGACGTTGTCCCCATCGGCGACGTAAGCAGTATCCGTAAATTACCTCTTGGGAAAAAGCTCAGTGAAATTTTACATTGAACGTGTTCCAAAAACCTGACCTCGTTCATAGTGCCGCTGCAGCCATTTACATCCATATGTACTGATATCGTATAACCGAAAGATGTTTCAATGGACTTGTCTTCGTTTATTTCTTGTGACTTACAAATGTGTTGCGGCGGAGCGCTGGACCATTGTTCTGCTAATGTGACCATTTGAGCCGCGTCCATTAGCCCGTAACCGAACTTATGACTGACTTTTCTCTTAACGCCATTAACTATCCATCCTTCTTCCTTTTCTAATGGCTGGGATCTCGAAGTAATGACTATTAGATGTTGCATGTCTCTCCATGTCAACAAGGGGTTTGCTTCTAGTGCTAATGCGCATATTCCTGCTGCTAATGGGGCCGACGCCGATGTTCCTGTATGGTCTACAGTACAAATATGATCTGGCCTTAATTGGACGTCCATATCTACGGTAGCGACGCTCTTATCCCGCCCCGGCGTCCCAGAACTATAAGTCGACGCTAAAGTCGACGAGCATTCTTCTAAATACCAAGGCTTATACCCCCCTTGGGTTGCGCTAGAAACTGATATAGTGAAAATGCTATTTGCATAACCGTCGCAATTGCAGGAGTCGGTGTGTCTCCCCCCGTTTCCTGACGCCCATATAAAAATGGATCCTTTGCCCCCTCTGCCGTTTGTGACTCCGTTTATAAATGCCCTGGAACAAAGCAGTTTTAATGAGCTAGCCGCGAGGTAGTGCTAAATAATCGTATGCAATTAGACAATAGGTACCTTCTAGCGAGGGGGCCTGGTCCGTCGACGGTTTTTCCGTCGTCTTCTGGCCCCCAGGAGGCGCTATAGATATCTATGTGGTGTGTGTTGAAGCTGAGGGCTTGTGCTTCGACTGCGTCGTTAACTAGGCCGTCTAGCATCCTGACTCCGCCGATGCTGGCGTTGTAAGCTATTCCAACGCCGCAGTACCTATTGTAAGCGACCGCTGCGACCTCTCCCGCGCATCGGGTGCCATGTTTATTGTCGCCATTGTCCTGCGGGGTGGGATCGGTGTCGTTCCCGTTTATGTCTGTTGATGCGGCTGGATCCTAGAAAAATGCTCAGTTTTATCGCTTGGTCGTGTTAAAGCCAATGTTTTATACGTTTAATCTTGTGAGTTGATTCAAGCAACATTTACAGAATCATTGAAATGTTAATAAACGTAAAAAAGCTTTAGTTTTAATAACAGAGAGCGAATAAATTTACAAACATTCAAATTAATTTAAGCAAAAAGTAGATAAAGTTTTTTCGTTACATAGCAGAATAAATATTAAGGTCTCGTATAAAATTAATTAGGGAGGATATTTTCATGTTGAATTTCATTATATGAATTTTCAAGGCAAGCTTATTTTATAAAAGCTCTCTGAGCTATTACCAAAAAAGCGTGTATTTAGAAGGTTATCCTCAATTCAAAAACATATTTAAATGTCACAAACTAAAAGCGTTCTAAAACAAAAATAAAAGAGTAATTACGTAATTCTGCGACAGATCCGGATGGTTTGGCTGGATGCCATCGTCTAAAATTGTTATAACTACCCCCTTCCCCGTATATCCTTTCCTCCAAGCGTACCCGACGTTCATGTCGAGACCGTCTGCAGCGCCACCGTTCTAAAAAGAATAATACTAATTGAAAAAACGTTTAGACACAATACAGGTTGGTATAGAAGACTCAAGTCAAATACGCTCTTTGCGAAGTTTAAGCCTAGGCACAATTTTATTAAGCCACCGACTTTTAGTTGGCCGTTAGTTGGGTCGGGCTGTTAACTAGTATGGAGATGTATAGAAGTGCGCACATTACACCGATTTGGTATCGGCTGATTCTTCATACAAATTAGAATCGGGCCCAACTGTCGGCCGACTAAAAGTCAGTGGTCTGCGCCTAGGCTAAAAGAGAGCTACGGAATAATGGACTTTAGTGTTGAGTTACGAAGAGGCTCTAGATAACGGGTAAACGAGGTAGGTAATTAAATTATAAGCTACGAGTGAATCGTTCGTTCGTTCGTTCGTTCGTTCGTTCGTTTCAGCCAAATGACGTCCACTGCTGGACAAAGGCCTCCTCCAAGGCTTTCCACAATGCACGGTCCTGCGCTGCCCGCATCCAGGCTCTTCCCGCGACCTTTACGAGATCGTCGGTCCACCTAGTAGGAGGCCTGCCCACGCTACGTCTTCCAGCCCGTGGTCGCCACTCGAGAACTTTTCTGCCCCAACGGCCATCGTCTCTACGAGCTATGTGCCCCGCCCACTGCCACTTGGTTTTAGCAATTCTGCGAGCTATGTCGGTCACTTTGGTTCTCCTGCGGATCTCCTCATTTCTGATTCGATCACGCAGGGAAACTCCAAGCATGGCCCGCTCCATCGCCCTTTGGGTGACCTTGAGCCTTCTTATGAGGCCCATAGTAAGCGTCCACGTTTCGGATCCATAAATCAACACTGGCAGCACACACTGCTCGAAGACTTTTGTCTTGAGACACGAGTGAATACAATAAATTAATATAAATGTTTCGAGAACATCATACCTATCGGTCAAGAAAATTACTAACTTCATTGAGTATAATAACAGGCAGGAATGAAATTAAAAAAAAAACATTTTATTTAACCTTTCAAGCCTCGCGAATCAATTTTTTACGCGGTCTTATGCGACCACTTGTGGTTTAATGGGTTACTGACGGTAATACGTATATTATTTTTTTTCAAAACAGTTACAGTACAAGTTTTACAAACAATAGATTTCAACTGACTCAAGCTTAACTAAGTAAGAATCCCTAAATTGGTTAGCATCATCGTATTTACTTACAAATATCCTAATAAACTCTACACAAAAGCTTCGTTTCATATAAGGGGATTCTACACTTTCTTAAAACTCCTCGACTCCACTCCCAAATAAGATCAATTTAATTTCTTTTTATCACGAACCCCACTAAAGAAAATTGCTTATCAAAATGCAAAGTCGATTGATATCGCTGGTATATTCTCTAAAAGGTTCGATCTAGACGTTTTACGACGCATCCTACCCACAAGTTAGAATAACCGTTCTCAGAAGTAACAGTGGGATCTAAGAGAAATGGATTCAGTAAAACTTATTCCATTTTAGATAATTTTACTGAACTGTCAGCGCCGAAAAAAAGAAATAACAGTGTGCTTATCATGAGTTTACGTTAAGGTGTGCTCGCTAGCGAGTAGGTCAAAAAAATCTAAGAAGTTTTTTTTATTTCTTGAAAGTAGCCGCTAGGGGTGCTGTACAATATGTCATATATTTTAATGTCATTCTTTTACGCAGTCGCTAGCGATCACACCTAACGTAAACTCATGGTAAGCACACTGATATCAAGGCAACGCAGGACCGTTCATTATGGAAAGCCTTGGGGGAGGCCTTTGTCCAACAGTGGACGTCATATGGCTGAAACGAACGAACGATAATCAAGCCTAATCAAGTGTTGTTTACATTTAATTAAGAATTTAGTTCACCTTTCAAGGAAACAAAGAGTTAATCTTGAAGTACGATCCTATTTTGTTTCTTAGTTTAGTCTTTAAAAAACTTTATATAGTTACGCACAAATAAATAGGTACAAATAACCTATGTAATCAAGAAAAGTATGTAAAACCTACTGCACATGAGCGCTGTTTAACTTTCTAGACCGCGCATTTTCGTAAGCATTTCTCTAATTTGCTTACAGATTGGCACGTTTCACTCGGTTTGTAACAGTAAATTTACGTACATTTACTTTAAATGTCAGTATTAAGAGTATTTTCAAAAGTTTCCTACATCATAATGCTCAACAGCTCCGAGATTTTGTTTGAAATATTTTTTATTCTGAGCAGTTAAGAGACAGAGAGAGATAATAAATGTGTATAAATTAACTCTACATAAATCATCATCATCATCATAGGACGTCCACTGCTGAACATAGGCCTCCCCCAATGCTTTCCATGTTGCCCGGTTGGTAGCGGCCTGGGTCCAGAGCCTTCCTGCTACCTTTATGCATAACTCTATTATAATAATATTTAGATACTTTCTAGTGTCTTGGACTCGACTATTTTTTGTTCCGTGCTAAGTATGTGCTAAGTATGTACAGTCGCAGAATGAAAAGGTTCGTCACCTTAGTGTCGGTTTTCGCTTGCACTAGGTACTGTAAGAGTCAAACCTGCCAACATAACAGTGAAAGAAACAGTGCTGCTAACATTTAAATACATATGACGTTTGCTAACGAATAAGGTTTTGCTTGTTTATTTTTCTATCCCATCAGTGCAATGCAATGATGACATTGACCAATTGACAATAGTTTTTTTTATTAAATAGAAATAATAATGGCAGTTTGAACCAACAAGAAGGTTTTAGTTTATCAATCATAATAATCTTCTTGACAAGATAAATCGTCAAACAACTTTGATCTGAATAATTTTGAACTTTACCAACGAACAGTTAAAGATTATTTTCTCTAACTCGAGATTATTCTGTAATATAGTTTCAAAAGGTAATATGTGCTCGCGATTCGTTGAAGGAATCAATTTGAAAACTGACGAACCTTTTCATTCCGTGACTGTACTAAGTGCTAAAAATAAAATGTTGTTGCATTTATGTCAATAGCAATGCTAAAATGCTGCGAAGTTGCTGGTATTTAAAAAATAACCCTGTATAAAATTGTAGAGTTTAATCAAATGTCATTTACTAATTTTTACGTGAACAAGTGGTACTTAACAAACATTCATTCACAAAATTTGGCACTATAAAAATAAAATTTTCAGAATGTTCAATTGATGAAACTCCGAAAATAACAGACGATGGCACATCAAGGTAAAAACTGATAATTTATGTTATTAGGATAGATGCTATTTTGAAACAAAAATGTATGGTTTAATTTACCGGTGTCTAGAATTTAGGTACAAAATTATAATTCCCGTCACCCTAAGTGACTTACATTGGCTAACAGGTTATATTTTACGTAACTTAGACATGTTCCTTCAGAAAATTGGATCTTTTAACTAAAAGCTGGATCGGTAGTCTTGTTTGAAGAACTCAATTAAAGGTACCATCTGGGAATTCTCCCTTTATTGCTGTACTTAAGCTCTCCACTTTTAAGTATTACGACTAGAGATGGCCCACGCTATTTTTTGAGTATCGATGAAATTATTGACACCATTTTATACAAATCGGCACGTAAAATCGTTGGAAAAACTTATCAACCGGAAAATGTTGTAACGAGCAACAGTATTACAAATTTGTTGTTTCCGTAAAAAGTTGTATTATCTGATATTGGAACGATAACAATTCAACATGTATTGTCAGCAAGAGTAAAAAGAATTAAGGAAGTAACTAAAAATTACTAACTTTTTGTCTGTTCTTGATAGATGGTTTAGTTAACACAAAACGCAATACGTATCAACATGTGATCTAATCCGTAGTTAAATCAGAACGATGCGATTAAGCCATGTTAGACATAATAGCGGGTCATAAACCTGACTTATAGGTCGAATCTCTGTTATAACAATCAATGAACGCAAGATTGACGTAAAAGTAATAATGGCATTGGGGTATGATCTCAGTTTATTAGAACCCATACGATAGTAGCACGATTGATATGAAATAAATAAATAAATATCCTTGGACATTTCACACTGCACCTCTAGTCCCAAACTAAGCAAAGCTTGTACTATGGGTACCTACTAGAAAACGGATATAAACATATTTAAATTCTTTTTTTTTGTAAATACATAAATAATAAAAATATAGCACCCAGACCCGTCACAGAAATTAAAATTCATCATTTCAATTTCTGCCCAGCCGGGAATCGAATCCGGGACCTCTCGGCATAGTAGTCCGTTCTGAACCACACCAAACGGCCGACGAAATATCGATAAAAATAGTGTTTTAGGACATCCCTAGTAACGAGGCTCGAGTTTTTTGTTTCCTCATTAAGCGAGGTATCGGTTTTCTGCTAAGCATATTGTTTCATTAAATTTACGCGATCACTTGGCAGTTTACTGCTTTTAAAACATTTCGATTAGCAAAACAGTCGAGCGGGGCTAATTTTTATTTCATCTGATAAAGTTATGGCATGGAAAGAAAGAAAGAAAAAGGAAGAGAAATGTTTATTGGGCCCAAAACAATTATTACAATTTTACAGTTCAAAGTATTTGTACATGTTTGAACCAAAATGGCTTCCGCTCAACATTGTGTCCTGCTCTGAGGCAGAACCCAGAACAGGACACTGTTATTCTGCTTATAATATTCAGTTTGTTACTGATAAAGCGGCTATTAAAAGGATTAATTGGTGTGTAACTTTGAAGTTTTAATAACAGTGAATAGCTAAATAAGACATCATAAACCTTTCAATAAGTAACAAAACTTCGTACGCGTGTACCCCGTTTTACCCCCATAGGAGTTAAATTTAGCAAAATCCCGTCTTAGTGAGCAGCTACGTTCTAAAACGGATCCCCCATGCAAAATTTGAGACCCCATGCAAATGCGAGTCAGTCAGTCAATCAGTTCGCTTATAAAAGCGAAATATATAAATGTCTATAAAGATATAATAAATCGGCACACAATAGACGTTTTTCTGTTAAATAGTCAGAATGGAAAAAGAATTTTTTTTTTTATATTTTTCCAATGTACCTACCTACATCTCTTTAAGAACCTTATTTGTTCAGATTGAAATAATGACAATTTAAGAAAAAGAATTCTTGAGTGTGTTTACTTTACCCATTAACTATCTAGATATTACTACTACATAAATAAATAGATATATAGATAGTATGGTATCTACCATACTGTAGAGCTTTTTCTATGCAAAAAAACTCTACATTTTTTAGCCTTCTTTAATCGACTAATATTGTTCATTTGTGTGTAAAATAAATTCTTACCAAGTACCACTGTTCCTTGAAGAGTGGGTCGGGGAAAGAAGGCGCACTGGACTGCCGCATCACGTGGCGCGGCCACTCTGCCCTGTGGTCCCTCTTGGTCCGCCTCACTTCCCTCTGCTGCATCGCCCATCTCACCTGCCGTTAGAGAATACATATTTATTTCCAAAATTAGGTACCTAATTAAATACGAGTAATCGTAGGCAGAATTGCACCATCTTACTTTAACTTTGACAAACGTCAAAAATCTGTCAAATTCCATACAAAAAACACCGGTTATCGTTTAAGTTATAGTCAAAGTTAGGTGTCTGTATCTCACTAAACATCAGGTACGATTGCGGTCAAATACCTGCCTTGTTCTGCATAAAAAAATGTTTATTGCCAGTTCCTTTGTTCCATTTTCGATTATTCAAATTTTATTTTATTCTTTTCATATTTTTAATTTAGTTATCTTTAACGTAGAACGTATGAAACAAATGCGATCGCAATCCAACATTTTAAGATGTTTAGATTAATTTAATGGCAAATACACAAACCATGCGAGCTCAAAAAGACTCATAAAATATCATTCCAATTGTTATTTTTTGGACTGTTGTAACAGGCATTTCGTTTAGGACAACCAACAGAAGAAAGTGTCACGATTCAGGAGTAAATTAAAATGTGTTGACCTCATTACTGCCGCAACATTAAGACTGAGTTGCACCATCTTACTTTGACATTAGCCAACGTCAATAATATGTCAAACTTCATACAAAAAGCACCAGTTACCGTTATAAGTTACCGTTAAAGTTAGCTGGTGCAACTCAGCCTAAGGATTCTTGGACTATAACAAAATAGATAAAATGACTAAAATGTCGTCACAGCGCTTTCTAAAGCGTGGAAAACAAAGTATTTTCCATCTAGAAAGCATATCCTCGTTTCAATTCTGCATTACTTTAAAGGCTTGAGACTTAGAGCTACAATCTCATGGTGGACATGATATTATGTTCGTTGTATTTTTATTTTATTTTCAATCATATTTATACACACTCCTTTATAGAAATGCCTTGCGAATATGTAAAAGCTCCCGGTATATTTGGGCTGTTAATACAAAATATCTTTATTTACATTGATTTACCTAAATAATAATTTACGGCTCAACAAACTGCCTTAACTACCCATAGTTAATTTAAATTCAACGACTACATTATAAACCTGAACCTAAAAACACATGGCAGACAATCAACTGTCAAAATTGACCAATAATGGGTTAATCCACAAAAAAGTTTTCGAGGTCGTATCAAATATCCACTTCAGAAAGAATTTGTTATTGAGAATAGCCCTCCACTTAACTTTGATAAGTTTTAAGGTTGTCCAAGGACAGCTAGCTCTATTTCATTTGTACTAAGAACTTAGTTTAATTATTGTTTAATGGATCTGAAGGTAATCCGACATTTTGTTTCGTATGGACTGTGAGTACCTTGAAGTCAAGATTAAGGTTTTTGATATGCTGATATTATAATATAAGCATAACTTAATGGAACCCACACATACTGAAACTGTAAAAATGCCAAACTTATTTTTCAGTTATAAAATCTAAGCCTTAAAATGGGTTTTGTTTATCACCCTGGCCTAACAAAGTCACATAGTCAATTTTTCCAGTGTCTATACTACTGAAGAGTTTGTTGGAACGTGCTAATTCTCAGGAACTACTATTCCGATTTGAAAACATAATTTTTATGTTGGATGGCCTTATCAAGGAAGGCTTTAGGCTATAACATCACCCTACAGCCAATAGGGGCGGAGCAGTAAAGAAAAATGTTGCAACAACTAACATTACACATGAGTGTAGTTACACTCGCGAGCAAAAATATGGAATCGTCCTATTTGTTTCGAGCGATCACAAAAATGACTAATAAACAAATAAAACTGGTACCATTTTAAAGGATAACACAGATACATACATAGTCATTCAGTTCTTAAGATCGCTCGGAACAAAACACATGTTGGTGATTCCATACTTTTGCTTTATTTTCACGCGTAGGTACGAAGTCGCGGGCACAGCGAGTTTGGACATAAAACGCGACTTGCACAGGTTTCCGAGTAAACACATACACACAAATATTTGAGGCACCAGCATCCCGCACTACGTTCGATTGCTTCTCTTTCAGCTCCATCTCGGGACTGTCCACTCGGAAATTGAATCCAGGGATGGTATCCTCTCCAATATTCCAGCATGAATAGACTTTTGAATACAAATCTAAATCAATGAATGGTAATGACTGACGGTATAAAAGCTTTTTTAATGGCCCGATTCAATTACACGAAAATGTAAATGTGAAGCAAAACTTTTTATTCCAATTTGAATTTGTTCTCAAATAAAGAGAGTAAAAAAGAAAATTTTGCTTGGAAACAATTATAGTAAATATGATTTCCATTTTATTTCGTTCTTTGATACGCGAGTTTTTTGGCTTATTAGCCACTTGGTATTTTAAATATCTCGCCGTAGGTACCTCCTAATTGTTTACCAAATACGTTAAAGTATGGCTTTAACTTTGATTAAATAAGCATTCTTCTTTCAGTGAAGTAATTACAATTAGTAAGCTGCAATCTTTTTGTATAACAACAAAGCTGTTAACATTCCAGCTGTTTTAAATATCATTGCATCCGTTGCTTTTACAGTAATTAGCTTTAATTTTAATTAAAACAAAATTGCGATAGAGATGAGCTTAAGTGGAAACAAAACAATGAAAGAAATTGCAACGTTGCAAATTGTTTGTTGAGAAATGTTTTCGTTAAAACTTAACAGATTTACTTATTATTACTGCAAAATCGTACTTCGACTACGACTAATTTCTAGAAAGTTCTAAAATATCTGTAAGTACCTAAGTAATATTAATTATTTTTAACATGTGTGTGTAAGTGTGTGTGTAAGTTTTAATACATCGCCTACGCTAATTTTCAGTTTGGCGTTACTGTTAAACGTTGAATGTAAGATAAATCCATAAGTTAGCCTCTCCACTCTTAATTTTATAATGTTACAGTAAATATAGTTTCCTTTTATTACATAATAACATGAATAAATCTTTGAATGTTGATTTCTCCAGATATGAAATATAGGTACTCGTCAAAATTTGTCTTAACCGCCAACTTAAACAACCAAAGCAGGCCATTAAACTGTATTAAATCCCTACACGTATAGAATATTCCGTTCGACATGACAAAATGGTGCTGGTTACATTGTTACAAAATTTTCAAATTATTAAGATTTAGTACATAAGCCCTCAATGTAACTGTTTGTTGTCCCAAATAAAGATAAAAAAAAAAACAAAAAAAAAACAAAAAAAAAAATTGTTTACAACGTACACGTTCGTACATTAATCAATGCCACACAAGCACTGAGCCTCTAATCTGAAACCTATACAATTTTAATATCGTCTATCTGCCGCTACTTCGAAGGCGGATCTTGTATTTCAATTTTCAAACCAGTCTAGGTTTATACGAGCACTCATATAATAATTTATTCCTTCGCCTTTTAGAGATAGGTTTTGAAAGACAATATTGATTGATGAGACTACATAACACATGGCTCGCAGAATTGCTAAAATCAAGTGGCAGTGGGCGGTGCACATAGCTTGTAGAGACGATGGCCTTTGAGGCAGAAAAGTTCTCGAGTGGCGACCACGGGCCGGAAGACGTAGCGTGGGCAGGTTTCCCACTAGGTGGACCGACAATCTGGTGAAGGTCGCGGGAAGAGCCTGGATGCGCGGACCGCGCAGAACGGGTCATCATGGAAATCCTTGGGGGAGGCCTTCGTCCGGCAGTGGACGTCCTTTGGAACGATTCTCGCACTCAGTGCATGCATGTTGCTTCATGGTATCTATGAATGATGTATCTATGGTGCTATCATTAAAATGTATGTATGTATCTTGTCCCATAATCGACTAGTTTTGTGAAAGCTAGATTATATAAAGATTTTTGTATAATAATAATTGTCTTTTCCTCTCCTGACCTCCAGACGTTCGTTCATAAAAAAGTTAATTAGACTTAATGGAGCGAGAGCGCAAATTACTGTTTTCTCTTCAAAATTGAAATTCATAGCATTGTTTACTTAAAATGGAAACAAAAGCGTGACAAATTGCGTTAGAACGATCAGACTACATTACAACTGCAATTTTTTGGAACTTTTTGACAACATCGAGCGAGTGCTCCTTAATCATGTATCTACTACTGCTATATCTATCTATTTATTTACATCAAGCGGCAAACAGTGGTGACTGAGTTTGTCGCGGCGCTTCTTCTCAGCACTTGCCAAATGATGATCTCGAAGCGCTGGTTTTAATTTTTAGTTTTGAGCTAGAAAATGCACGCTGTTGCAAACTCACTGATTAGTTAATTAGGTTTCCAAAAATCGGCAATATGTGCCATTAGCAGAATAACGCAGATTCCTAAATCTGCGTTATAACTGCGCTTACGTACGAAAGCATGCTACTATTGAGCAATTGCTACTTAATAGCATTGTGTGTCGAAACATTGCTTCATGCTAATTTTACTAAGTACTATTTTTTTTTATTTTCTATGAAAAAATAAAACCATTTCACTCTATAAATGTCTTGCTGGGCGATGATAAAGCATTTCAGCCTAAGTATTTAGAAGTGTGCTCAAAAATGCTGAACAAAAGCAAAAGTGTCAGTTTTAATTGCACGCTTGTTTTAAGCATCCTAATAATGCATGTGTAACTGTACCTTAACTGTAACATATGTTCAATGTTATTCGCAATCGGACGTTAAATATCCGTTCAAAATTCACAAATTTCGTGTGCAACTAATCCCAATGATACTAGTTGACCGCGACACGGTTGCGGACGCGGGTATGTCAACATCGGACGTGTTAAACTACCGTCATTTGCTAATAAACATCGCTTTAATCATGATAAAGTAGGCAATTGCGATGAAACGTTAAAAGCGGATGAATTTTCAGAGTTAATTAAATTCTAATAACATCACACTGGTCGTTTATAATTCAAGGGCTCTTTATTATGTGCGCGTTATTATGGGAATACAAGGTGACTATTAATAATTCAGACGTTCTTAGCAGATTGCCGACGTGAATAATAATTACTTCTGAATGAAAGAGAGACGAGAACTAGACAAAGTTGAGAAAGTCTCCTACTCCAATTACATATTTGACACCATTCAAAAATCATTATAAAGTACATCTTTTTTTAAACACTTCATTCTAAGAGTCTTAATAACTCACATTTTTATTGTCCTAGAAAATTTAAGGGAGTCTCGTTTTGACAGTAGCGTCACAATTACACGCCTTACGCCCGTATTCACAAACATTACTATGAGGTCTCACAGTGCGCGTGGACGCACAGGGTGACACCAACTTATTTTAACCGTAACAATAACAAAAACCGGTGGTTTTTGTATATAGTTTGACAGATTTTTGACGTTTGTCAAAGTTAAAGTAAGATGGTACAACTCAGCCTAAGCTATGCGCCTTAATGTGTGGACTCGATTTGCTTTAACATTCCATGTCGCCGTCCATTTTTCATACATTAATAAAAGTACAGTGTCGTGTACTGCAACTGTAATTTTCCAATTAAGTCGGGTGGCGTGCCACGGAATCTTCTGAATTAATGGTCAACGGTTTCAAAGTAAACACCGCAAAATGCTTGTTTATTCAAATAAAAAATTGCTATAGTTAATGTATTAAAACAAACAACTATGTATTTTGGCAGGATCCCAATTTATTTTACTGGAATGCGTTAAGGAGGGTAATTTTCGTGCTTTGCTTTTGGGACCGTGAAAGTTCTAGGAATAACGTTTGTTATACTATAAGATAATTTTATTCTTGGAAGTGAATTCGATAGTTGACATGAGCATTTAGAACAGCTTGTGGTGTGCCATTCAGTTGAAATAAAATATATTATTTCAAAGAGCCAACGATACATATAAAATACTCTACAATATTTCAAATTGTTCGATAAGTCAACATGTTGTTGTCAACATGTTACTTTTCGTAAAAATAAAAATAAAATGTTTACGCATTGTTACGTTTTTTATAGAAAATGGATAGACAATATTTACCTGCATTCATGGTAAATAACGGATATCGTTAAAAAAATAACAATAAAATATACGAAATATTTTTAAACCTAGCAAAAAATTTCCGCAGTCATTTGTTTTTGGCGTAAATTGTTTACCCAGAGAGCTTCTTTTGTTTTCCAAATGCATTTTTCATTTATTTTTTTACACACAATTACGTCATGAACTTACCACTATATTAAGATGTGTTTGCGCCCAGTAAATGGCCTAACGTCCATATTAACAAACATTACTATGAGGTCTCACAGAGCGCGTGGACGCACAGGGTGACACGCGAACCAATCACAAAGCTTTATTCAACGCTGTGCCATTGATTTGCTGCTTCACTTAAGCAAGTATCGTTTGTGAATACGGGCGTAAGTACTGAATAAAAACTTTGACTTACCTGTGGGTCATTTTTGAGCCTAGTGACGTGGTCTGTGCTGGCATTTGGCGACCTTTTACTGACGTGAGGGTGTGACAGAAGGTAGAAGTGCTTCAAGTTGCCAATCTGGGGACAAAATAAGCAACATTTAATTAGCTTATTTGTTTGCTACATTTCAGCAACAATCTTGTAATTTTAAACTTCATTACAATTTGAGTACCTACTTATGTCATATTATGAACATATGATTCTCACATCATCCTAGACCTATCCCATTTCATCATAATTTAAAAGAATTAATTTCGTAGGTAGCATTAATTTTAACACAGAAATTAATTCTCTGAAATTATGATGAAGTAGTAATATAAGTAAGCAGTTTACATAATGAATAATGAATTATTATAATAATGTTCATTAAAAATTAAAACTCAGTTAATATTCATTTCAGACCAAATAATATCAATAAATGTATAGTTAATGCCTGAAACTAAATCTACACCAAATTAGATGAGAAATATACGTAATCAAACAGGTAGTTACGTACCTAATAAAAATACGAGTAGGTATAACTTACCTACTACATCCATCATAATAATTAGGTAAGCATCGAAAGAGGTAATTAAACTCTGTAATTAATAACAATCGAATTCAGAAACAAATTGAAACGCAAAGTTGCCGATCGAAAAAAGATGGCCGTCAATTATTCCTCGCTGAAGAACCAGCGACTGCAAGTGATCGGAAGAGTTCGGAAAACGGACCGCGTTTGGACATTTCCCGCCTTTTTTCAGCCGCTTGAATGGACAATAGAATGGTGGGCTGCAGTCATTTGTTCGAAAGCGTTTGTTTTAGGGTTCGTATTTCGAATGGAAAAGGAGCCTTTACGGAATATTCTTTTTTCGCCTCTTTCATTACTTAGTACAAATTAAGTGCGTTTTAACTGACTTCAAAAAGGAGGAGGTTCTCAATTCGGTTGATAATTATGTTTCTTCTTAATCGTTGACTGTATTATTTTGGGATCTATGAACAAGTACTTTATTTATCCTGAAGAATACATTTCACCTTTGATCTTGCTCTAAAGCCGTATAATAAATTATGTTGGTTTGGTTGGTAGTTTAATGAATTGAATCTAATTCATTTCAAAACTAATGATCGGAACATTTTCTCATTTAGAAACTAATTCGAGACTTCAGTAAAGTTATTAATATAATTCTAGGCCTAGTTCAAGCAGCTGCCTCAATAAATTCTAACATTTAAATTAATGACGTGCCTAATATCTAGACTGCTAAATTAATGGAAATACTAGACTCAATCAAATCACGTTTATAGACGAAATTCATTTATATAAGCTGTAAGAGCCAGATAAGTATCTTTAGGGACAAAATTAGTCCCAATTATCTGAGTTTTCACAATTCGCTGTTAAAATAATTTCAGTTAGTGACCCAATGTCATTCAAGACTTATATTAACATTTAATACTTAGGTATCATAAGTTATGTTTTCGATAAACATTTAAATACGTGTTTTGTAGTTCAAATAACTTTTAGTTCAAAAGAAAATAAAGTGACACATTCACGCTCACCAAAGAGCCAACTTTAACATTGTCGTGAACATAAACTTCAATGGTATTCGATTTCAAATAGAATACAAAGTTTCAAATCTCGTAGAAGCGCCATATATCCCAATATTCCCGATACAAAGTTACATCACAAGGAAAAATTTACTTTAACTCAATAAGATAGAGCTGAATATTGACTAACCTAAAGCCTCAACCTCAAAGTAAGACAGCCTGAAAAAGGTCGTTAAAGGTTTAGGTCAATTCACAAATTATGTCATTTAATTTTCTAAACCCAAATAAACAAAATACTTTTTTCTTTTGTTGTCCATTTAGTTAGGGTATTCTAAAAATAAACAGAAACATTATTTATTTATCAGACAGACGCGTTCAAATACATATTCGTTGTTAAATATTTTACAGGTAATTTCATCATTTTTAAAGTGACCTTCGTATAAAGCCTCTGACACAAAGTTGGCGTGAAAAAGACGTGATGAAACCACGGCGTGACATCCAAATCAATATTTATCTACTATTTTTAGATAGGTGCTTAAAATAGTTGAGTTGTAAGCCCATGGTTGTCAAATTGTATAACGGGACTATTTCCACCTCTCTTTCCCACCGCTGCAACTCCTGTTTCGTCGCGGGTCCAATGACAGTTTAACTTTCCCCGGGATAAACTTGACCTTCACTAGTTACATTTTTAATGGCGGTCAAGCTGTAGATCCTGGCTACACAGGAGTTGCAGCAGCCTATAGTCTAAATTGCTATCCCATGAGCAGGTAGTAGGTAGTACTTATTATTATTCTGTGGCCTAGTAGTAATAAACGAACAATAGAGAAACAAAATGGCGCCCACCATTAATACACGCTTCAGTAAGCGACTATAAAACATAATTATCCCCAACATCCGCGGAAGCACAACTGAACTGTCCTCAAAAAGCCGAAGTTAGAGAAATTAATTAAATCCCGACCAGATGAATGAGAATTTTCTGTGGGAGGCATAAATATGACAATGGCGAGAAAACGGGACAAAAGCCGTGGTAATTGAAAACTCGCTTCAACGCACTAATTAATTAATATGATGCACGCCTAGGTTAGAGCACTAAGCATAGTGCGGACTGCCGTTAGTGCATATGAAGATGAATTACGTTTTGAGCTCGCAAGTCGCTCGGAAGATAATTTGCCGCAGTGTATTTTGATTACGCGCGACTCGACGGTAGATGAGGTCGGAAGGGGATTAGAGTTTGGAGTAGCTCACCAGCTAACGATACTGCATGTTGCTTCAAAGTGATTTAATGTTTTGATGAAAGGTTAACCGTATTTTAGTAGTCGTTAGAAACTTAGATAACATCTCATTTAATTATAGCGCTTAGAAAATCCTAACAGATTCTACTTTCACTACAAAATAGTTTTTTTAGATTTTCTATACGTGACTGAGACCTGTCGACACCTTTTCGGTGACACGTGACGTTTATTTAGTTTTAGTTTTGTTTCAATTTCATGATATTGTTTTGTGTCGCTGAATAAAACATTTCATTATAAATCATTCTTCAGTCTCTATTAAAGTAGGTACCTTGATTTTTATCATTTTAACGTACAATTAAAATTATAGTTAATATTATTTAAAGCAAAACCTTCTCAGTAGCAATGCAACTAGCTGAGTTCTTTCGTTGCATTGTCTTCAATATCAATAGCGTGTCCCTATTCAAAGAGTTAATTTAGGTAATTGAAATGCCGCTCCAACGCACTCACCGGGTCGACTATTAGCAAGATGAATTCACCTAAGCTTTTAGTGCATATGAAGATGAAATGCTTAAGCGGCAATCTACAAATGTACAAGGAGAGTGGCCGGAGAGAATCTTGAATTTCACATTCTGGCTGAAGCCCTAATGAGGCAATTTGTCTTATGTGATCAACGTGGCACTGTATCCTTCTAGAATACAAATTGCCTTTTGACACCGCTCCACTCGCTGCGATTTTGTTCCTTCGTGTGAAGAACTCTCGACCCCTGGGAATGGCCCGAGGTAAGTCTGTCACTTTTATATTATTTTTATAAATAACGAAATTTAAGTAAGAAACTCCAACAGTTCTATTGATGTAAGTTGTTCAAGCAAATGTCTGTTGGGAAATTAATTTAGTCTTACTAGGCTCAAAAGTTGCAACTATACCAAACCAAACAAGTAGCTATATTAATTTAATATGAGTATAATGTGTTCAAAACTTTGCCAATGCCATACTATTTGGTATTGTTCCCAGTTTCTAAGTTCCCTGCTTATTAGCAAACTCAGAATATTCTAATTATATTCAACTGTTCGACCAACTTCAAACGCAGAATCTAGAATCTACAATTGAGATCTGTAACTAACCCATACCAGATGCTCCTTATAACAAAGCTGTGATATTACCGACCGAACGAAAGTCAAAGGACCGAATTTCAACCGCAAAGTAAGTTAGTGGAGCAAATAGACTTAAGTTACGACTCAGGGCGACATCTGCCGGGCGCCGGCGAAACTACAGTTCGATGGGAATTGAAATGAGGGGTTTGGGGCATGCATGGGAAAAAGTGTAGAAACTAGAGCACGTTGCAGCAATGTCTTCAGTTATGGAGGGTATATTGATATTTTATTTGGAAATATCCAAAAGAAAACATCAAATTCTATGTTCGGTTTCGGATATCGTATTACGTAGCCAATAATTGAATTTCGTGGAATCTCAAAGCTTGACGAGCTTGACCTTCGAATAAAATACAGTAATTCTGTTCTTTGATGTGAGTATCTCCGAATATTTGGGCAAATTAGTGTCAGATAATAATATAATATAGAATACTCGTATAATGTGAGGACATATTTTTGGCGCACTAGAATCATTTCGCGCATGATTTACATAAATTAGATTGGAGCCCATAAATAATGTTCTAATCAAGTTTAAAATTTTGCTGGCTTTTTTTAATCATATTATTGAGGATACCTATTTCAGTGATCATAAACTTTTTCGCTAATACGAAATTACATAGAAAATACAAAGGATATTTTCCGACAACAAAATACAAAACTATAGCGAAGAGTTAACCTCAAACAGAAATACTTTTACTAAAGTTAATAATAATAGGATCTTTTCAATCAACCTACTTCTAACATTAACAAAAGCCAAAATATACTTATCTCTAAACAAGTTTTATTTTTGGAAGGATTTTTATCTTACCAATAGCGAAAGAAAGGAATAACAATGTTCTAAGAAAACACTTTCTATTATACTCACTCTTCAAACTCGATGCTGCGAGATTTATTTAGGGAAATTAACACCCGACCTTGTGAAACTAGGAACAAGTTTATTATTTCAAAAGGAAGGTTCTGGTTGCTTCCTAGTAAAGTCGACGGTAAAACTATAGTTCTTGTTGTAAAATAACACGGAATATTACAAATAGTACATAAGTCTAGCGCTCAGTTATGGAAGCGGCACGGGAGGATTTTTAGGATTCCGTAGCCAAATGGTAAAAAACGGAACCCTTATAGATTCGTCATGTCTGTCTGGCCGTATGTCACAGCCATTTTTTTCCGAAACTATAAGAGCTAT